GTTACTAGTTACGTTGAATATTATTTATGATTTTAACTTTATACACAAGTGCCAAAATACTATAATTACGTCTAGACTAACTGAAAAGGGAAGTTATTTACCAAAATCTGCAATATAAGCTGAAGTTAAGAGAGAGAAAACTTTTTTTTTTATCAGAAGCTGCTAAAGATAGCATCAACAATTTGAGACATAAAAAACAAACATTTCACATTGTTCTTTTGACAACTGTAATGCATTCTGAGATTGACAACTAAAATATTTATACAGCTATGTTTGAAGATGAATCATCTCGTAAGTGTTTTCACCCTTTTGGTTAAACGATGTTTTTATAGTCGCGGCATAGTGGCTCATAGAATGGCTCTGACTTGTTTCAAGTACAAACTTTTATATCATAGCTCCGTCATCTCTTGACCGATTTGAGGTCTAATTACAGTTTTGGACTCAGGAAATCAAACCCTTTCGATTGATCTATTTGACCACGCCCTAGGTCTCATAGATTAATTTACTCTAATCCTACCTAAAAGCCACCCCCCCCCAGTGGCTCAGCGGTATGTCTGCGAACTTACAACGCTAGAAACCGGGTTTAGATACCCGTGGTGGGCAGAGCACAGATAGCCCATTTTGTAGCTTTGTGCCTAATTACAAACAAACAAACCTTCTGTTCCACGCCCCCCAGTGGCACAGCGGTACGTCTGCGGACTTGTAACGCTAGAATCCGGGTTTCGATACCCGTGGCGGGCACAGCACAGATAGCCCATTGCAGATCGTTTGTAATCATCCAAAACATCGTAGAAAACAAGAAATATTAATTTCAAGAAATAGTTATTTGTAGTGCTTTAATGGCTACAATTAATCATTCTCTGATATTCCTACGCCACCCTAAAATTTTAAACTGCACACAAACACACAAAATCAACAACAAAAAACACAGAGCTGTCTAGACAGTTTTTTCACATTCATGCTGATTTCAAATATTTTAGTCTTAACTGGATAATCACACCTTCGCTACTAACAGCCTTCTAAAAAACAATATTTCACGAAAAATCGACCTATCTTTCTAAGTGAGGTGTTTGGTTGTGGCAAAGAAGAAAAAAAATCGTGCTTTTAACAAAATCTTTTTAACCAATTAATCGTTTTATATTAACTAAATTAAGAACACAAAGAACAAGTCCTATTTGTAAGAGTGCCTTTAACATATATATATATATTAATTTAGTACCGGTTACTCATTATAGTTCAGTAAAGTAAAGCCACCTGGTTTGGTTTTGTAGCTCATTTGTGGAGTTAACGTTTTCTAAGTTAAATCTTGGCGAAGATGACACAGCTTTAACAAAACTAACGAAAGGAAATTTCACCTGAGCACGTTTCGTACCAATCAGAGGTACAGGCGCACCTATTAAGGCCGGGTCCAGGGTTTGTCTTAGGGTCTTGGAAAGTTAAATAAGTATTTTAATAAGACGGACGTAACTTGAAAATAATATTAAACTTTTGTGTGTGTGTGGAATTGTAAAAGTAAGTGACCAAACTTTTACGATGAGCATTAAATAGAAACTTAATTAATAAATTATGTTAACTTTTATTATTTTTTTTCTAGACGAGATGGCGCTGTATTTTTTGTTGTTGTTTTTTTGTTTGTTTGTTGGTCGAACTGATTAAACATTGAAATTTTACTTGACTATTTTCTTTGAAATATTGCTTTGATAACTGAAAAGACTAGGAATGAAAATCTAATGACGTAAACATTGTTTTGAAATATCCTTCGTTTCACTTGTAGAAACTAAATATAATTGTATATATATTAAACTTACACACACAAAAAAAAAAGGTGTCATCTGTTCCTTAAGTCACTAGAATAACTAAAATAAACATATTGATTATGGAAAGTAAAATGAGACGATAGTTGAAAAAGATTATTATGAGATTGAAAAGTTTTTGTTTTTTTTGTAATTAAGTACAAAGCTACACAATGGGTTATCTGTGCTCTTCCCACTACGGGTATCGAAACCCGTATTCTAGCTTTGAAACATCAACACGATAAATGCTAATGAGAGTGCGAAAACAAAAGAAATAATGGTGTGGAAAAATAAAATCTGACATTGGTGAATCAATTTTCGAACATACTAAAAATAAAATCTAGAGAAGATGAGGTTAAAGGGAGAGGTTTAAAAATCAGTAGGATTAGATTAGGATTAGGATTAGGATGGGTAAGATTAGAAGAAAGATGTGTCGAAAAATTAAAAACGAAAAGAAAAAAAACCGTATATGGAAGTAAGAAGAATTATTGAGAATGTAGCGATGATACTGATTCCTTGTCTTCACTGAAAACGGTTAGAAGCATGAAGAACGTCCCGGTTTTTCATAAATCTGAGTAGTTGTCTGATCGAGAATTCATGGATACATCCCACCTAAACAAAGCAGTTTAGATCGTGAAATTAACACGACTACGTTTAATTAATCTAAGTTCTTTCTAGATTGAGAATTCATGTTTACAACTCATCTAGACAAATCGAAATAAATCACGAAACAAGAACACGTGTGTGAAGGTTCCTCGAAAGTGTTCTGTTTCAAGAGTAAATAAAACCAAAATGAAGAGTAACAAATATATCTATTTCTTGCTTTTGAAATTCGTGTCATGCTGCGTTGTAGCCTACGGAGTGCATAATTGTTCTAGTGATTCATGGCATGCGCACGTTTTGCTGACGTCACGACAGTGCAAATTACAACATTAAGCGTCCCTTATGTGACGTCATTTTAGTGTCTAATGACTGACTGACAGAGAACACACTACTGTATAGAGGTGCGAATGGTTAAAACAGGTGACCCCCTTCAGGCGGACGTTAAGCGTCCCTTATGTGACGCCATTTTAGTGTCTAATGACTGACTGACAGACAACACACTACTGTATGGAGGTGCGAGTGGTTAAAACAGGTGACCCCCTTCAGGCGGTCTTCGGTTCCCTTTTAATTACTCTAAGACATTTTCAGATTGAGAATTCGTGTTCACATCTCTCCTAGACAGATCAGTATAGATTCGTGTTTTTCAACTAGTAATTCCGGAGTTTCCATGTACCACTATGCCAAATTACTGAGGTGAATTGGACACATCTGTTCACTATTCACTGTCACATTAAAAACAAAATTGTATAGCGCTTTTATAACTGTCATGCAAAAACCAAGTTAATCTTATGATCGTTTTGTGTACCACGTTCAACATCCTCGTGTATAATTATTGGTAACACTCTGTACCACGTTCAACATCCTCGTGTATAATTATTGGTAACACTCTGTACCACGTTCAACATCCTCGTGTATAATTACTGGTAACACTCTGTACCACGTTCAACATCCTCGTGTATAATTATTGGTAACACTCTGTACCACGTTCAACATCCTCGTGTATAATTATTGGTAACACTCTGTACCACGTTCAACATCCTCGTGTATAATTACACGCCGTCTTTCTATTCAGAGATGTGTCAGAGAATTAATCCAACAATTTATTGACTTCGCTGAGTGCGAGAGTACTGAACGGGCGTCTCAGGTATGTCAGTTTTAAAGGGTAAACTAGTCTCGTCGAGCTACGTTGCTTTACTGAAGTTGTACCTCTCTCGCGCCAGCGGTCGCTACGCGTTATGCGTCGTCTTGTAAATTAAAGTCGTCTCTTGTAAGTAAGACAAGTTTTAATACACGTTGTCAGACTCGGAGTAGTGTAAGTTAACGTTCTCAGCGTGAAAAGCCGACACTGTAAGTATGAGAAGCACTATTTCCTAGACTAAACGCGACGTCATCATCCTGAAGATGGGAAAAATTTAAAAATTATCGTCAAGATATACAGGTTAAGCTATCACTCAATTAAAAAAAAATCATCACTTAGATGAAACGGATTTTATCGAGACCAACGGAAGGGGAAGGATAAGATACTGAAAAGAAATTAATAAAACTGTTTTCAAACAAAAACTGTAAGTTTTCGGGAAGAAGAACAAGCAGCCTGACATCTGACGTCAGAGGAGTCTTATGAACATTCTCAAACAAACTTTTGGATAAGATCTTTGACAATATTATGTCTATGCTGGCTAGGAAGGGAACTATGATTCATCGTAAGGGTAATAGGAGAGCATCCCAGCCTGCCTTGCGGCGGTCCAGTATGGTCAGTATTCCTCCATCGCGTCGAAGATCTGTGGCTCTCACCAGTAATGTTGAACAAAGGTCGCATACCCACAGTTCAGTTAACAAAACTCTAGAATATAGCTCACGTGCTAATTTGACGACAGCGTGTCGTGCCAGTTTCAATGCGAGGCCCACGCGAGGGCCTGGCGTTGCAGTGGCCACAGAGTTGTCTTCTCCTTCTCGCAAGTCCTCAACTTCCGGACCTAGGCGATCTTTAGAGGAAAGGGACGAGAGAAAGTTAGAAGGAAGCGTGGTGGTAAGTTTTAGAATGTTCGACTCTCACCAAATCTCTGGATCTACATACATTAAAAATAATCATGATAAAATGTTTTTAAACTAAGAGGGAAGCGCGGTGGTAAGTTTTAGAATGTTCGACTCTCACCAAATCTCTGGATCTACATGCATTAAAAATAATTATGATAAAATGTTTTTATACTAAGAGAGAAGCGCGGTGGTAAATTCTAGAATGTTCGACTCTCACTAAAGCTTCACGTATTTTCACTGTTGTAAGGAATAAAGAAATAACTAATATATATATACAATGAAATACGGTCTTCTGGAAGTTATACTTTACATAGAATCATTTTAAGAGAGCTGTATATTTATTACGAACACGTAGATATAACACATAAACATTCGTACAGTACAGTAACTTTGCAACTGATTTTCATCCACTAAAATCATTTAAAAGTGACAAACCAAGGAGTCTTTCTAATTTGGTCTTGTTAACAGAATGTCGTATAATACACAAACATGGCTGTTTTATGTGTCGTGAAGTTTGTCTAGAAGCTGAAAAAGGAGTTAGAGGAACGAACGATAAATTATATCTCAAAGTTTGTTTGTTTTTAAATTACTATATATATATTGTTCATCCTTTTAAATTCATAGCAGGAATAACAAGTTCTTTTCTCGTGTCATTTACCGGTATATTTAAAACAATATCTGGTAGTATTCACTGGAGTTCTACACCTACATGATAGATAAGTAGAGCTGATACTTCAAAAGGCTAAAACGAGAGCAAGGAAAAATAACAATAAAAAGTGGCACTCAGTTTATTACAGAATCATCCAAGAAGCACTTGTTAATATCTTTTTCTCTTACGATACTAATTTTTGGTCGTTCTAGAGCGTTGGTAATGCTAGAAGATTCAGGTAAGGATCCAGATCTCAGTATATGAAAAACCTGACAGTTTGTATGTTGGTTCTTTTAATCGTGCTTTACGATAATATTTTTGCTTACAAAATCGTAAAGTGTGGCAGAAATTAAAAATCTCATATTAGTCACTAATTAGCCACTATCTAAAACAATTAGATAGCTTATGATAAAATATAAAAAAAACGACAAAGGCTTTTGTAACAATAAATAATAATTGTATAAACTGTTCAACAATTAATGTGCAACAATTAATTCCATTTTTTTTCTTTGTCTTTCAAAATTTGTAGTGCAAAGCGCTCGTTGAAATAAAAAATATAACCTTTTATGTTTATCTAGAGTCGTTTTGTTTTTTCTAAACATTTTTCAAAATTAATTCTATTGCTAGAAATCTTCTTAAGGAAGAAAACTCAACTAATGAAATATTGTTTTGCTTTCAGTGTCCTTTACTAGTCTTATTCCAATTGTAAATCATAGTTTTCGTCTTCATTATTAAATCATTCAACATGGAGTATGGAGTATAAGAAGCTCGCCGAAAGCTAGCGTAATTATGAAAATTAGTTAAGTAACACATCTGGTTCCTTTTTATCTATACCATGAGTAAGGTTTATTTGAAGTTAAGCACAGAGGTTTCTAGTGTTGTAAATCCGCAGACATGCCGCTGTGCCACTGGGGGGAAGGGGGCACAGGTAAAAAGAAGTGAAGTAACTTATGGCTCTAGAGTTTGCCAAACTTTTTTTGGCCACAGAACACTTTTCAGCTGAGAAAAAAGCTCACGGAACACCAGACACGTGAAATATCGGTGTAGAGAGTGTGTTGCCGCGCAGCGCCCTCTAGATTTGTATATTATTTATCTAATCAAATTACATATTAATGAATTTTTACATTTTTATGCTTATAATATATTTTAGGTATAAACCTCTTCACTAAGATATTATGTAGAATAGATATGGTATCTTCTATAATTATTCATCAATGTAAAACCGATATTATCTAATTCTAATACATAGGAAAATATTTCATAATAAGTTATGATCGAACACAAAGTGTTAAATATTTTATTAAAATTTAAAATCATGATTTTTTCACGCACCACCTATCAATCACGGATAGAGCACTAGTGTTCCGTATAACATAGTTTGGGAAACGCTGCTCTAGACTGTTACATAGGATAAGTTGGGAAAGATGTGGCTTCTTTATAACTGTTACATAGGATAAGGTGGGAAAGATGTGGCTTCCTTATAACTGTTACGTAGGATAAGGTGGGAAAGATGTGGCTTCCTTATAACTGTTACGTAGGATAAGGTGGGAAAGATGTGGCTTCTTTATAACTGTTACATAGGATAAGGTGGGAAAGATGTGGCTTCCTTATAACTGTTACATAGGATAAGGTGGGAAAGATGTGGCTTCCTTATAACTGTTACATAGGATAAGTTGGGAAAGATGTGGCTTCTTTATAACTGTTACATTGGATAAGGTGGGAAAGATGTGGCTTCCTTATAACTGTTACGTAGGATAAGGTGGGAAAGATGTGGCTTCTTTACAACTGTTACATAGGATACGGTGGGAAAGATGTGGCTTCTTTATAACTGTTACGTAGGATATGGTGGGAAAGATGTGGCTTCCTTATAACTGTTACGTAGGATAAGGTGGGAAAGATGTGGCTTCCTTATAACTGTTACGTAGGATAAGGTGGGAAAGATGTGGCTTCTTTACAACTGTTACGTAGGATAAGGTGGGAAAGATGTGGCTTCCTTATAACTGTTACGTAGGATAAGGTGGGAAAGATGTGGCTTCTTTATAACTGTTACATAGGATAAGGTGGGAAAGATCTTCCTTATAACTGTTACATAGGATAATGTAGTGATGTTGTGGCTACCTTATAGATGTTACATAGGATAATGTAGTGATATTGTGGCTTCCTTATGGATGTTACATAGGATAATGTGGTGATGTTGTGGCTTCCTTATAGATGTTACATAGGATAATGTAGTGATGTTGTGGCTTCCTTATGGATGTTACATAGGATAATGTAGTGATGTTGTGGCTTCCTTATGGATGTTACATAGGATAATGTAGTGATGGTGTGGCTTCCTTATAGATGTTACATAGGATAATGTAGTGATGTTGTGGCTTCCTTATGGATGTTACATAGGATAATGTAGTGATGTTGTGGCTTCCTTATGGATGTTACATAGGATAATGTAGTGATGGTGTGGCTACCTTATAGATGTTACATAGGATAATGTAGTGATGTTGTGGCTTCCTTATGGATGTTACATAGGATAATGTAGTGATGTTGTGGCTTCCTTATGGATGTTACATAGGATAATGTAGTGATGTTGTGGCTTCCTTATGGATGTTACATAGGATAATGTAGTGATGGTGTGGCTACCTTATAGATGTTACATAAGATAATGTAGTGATGTTGTGGCTTCCTTATAGATGTTACATAGGATAATGTAGTGATGTTGTGGCTTCCTTATAGATATTACATAGGGTAATGTAGTGATGTTGTGGCTTCCTTATGGATGTTACATAGGATAATGTAGTGATGTTGTGGCTTCCTTATGGATGTTACATAGGATAATGTAGTGATGTTGTGGCTTCCTTATGGATGTTACATAGGATAATGTAGTAATGTTGTGGTTTCCTTATAAATGTTACAAAGGTTAAGTAATAATGTTGTGGCTCCTAACTGTTACATGGGATAAGGTAATAAAAGTTTCGAGACGACTTGAATGGGTAATGAAGAAATCTTTATTATAAATGCCCAACGTTACGACAAGATGGTGTCATCATCAGGTACAAGTAGTTTAAACCCATCCCAAACAACCCAGCAATCACACTTGAAAAACAACTGAACAAAAAAGATAAATTATTTACTGGATATCTTTATTTTTATCCAAGGAAAATTGACTTACAAGTACTATAACTTTATGGCATTCTCGAACCACACAAATAAGGCTGCCTGTACTATCCGTTCATGACTCGTTTAAGTCTAACCCTGGTAAATAAATAGCCTGGGCCCTCACGCCTTACATAACTTCTGTAGATTCCTTTTTTAACCCTTGCGCTGCGGCTGGGACGTATATTGCCCAGTGTTCCCAACCCCCTCACACTGCGACAGGTCAAGTTCAGCGTAGACTTCTCTAATTAAAAATTTATTTCGCCAAATTAATTACAGATACACACAGATATATATATATATATATATATATTAAATTTTGTTAGATAACACATACAGAAAACAAGACATACAGTTTTTAAGGGAGGTTAAGTCTGGTAAATAATGTATCCCCACTGCTATATGAGTATTATTTATTCAGATACATTCAAAACCAGGATAAACTTCATATTTTCTCACCGTGTAGCTTGTGCTCTAGGTTTGTGTGTTTGGAATTAAGCACAAAGCTACACAATGGGTTATCTGTGCTCTGCCCAAAACGGGTATCGAAACCCGGTTTCTAGCGTTGTAAGTCCACAGACATACCGCTGTGCCACTGGGGGGGGGGGCTGTGTCCTAGGAAAAAATACATATTATTTGTCTTGTCATTTGATGTCCAGTGCCCTCTGGTCATGTTGAGCTACGTTTGATCCCTGTAGACATAACTGAAAACGTATAACTTATCTAAATTTAACTAATACATAGAACAAGAGATATAGTTGGTAAGGCAAGCAAAGTCTGGTAGATATGCAACTTCGACAAATGTTTCCCACTCTCATTCAAAATTGCCACACGTGACAAAGTTGGAAAGTATTTATTGGCATCCCACCTAATGTTCATACGTGGTTTCCCTCAGCGTTTCCCACTCAGCCCTTCAGTAACCAACAAGATGTCGAAACGGAATGAATGACGTCTGCGTGCCAACCATGCCCACATGGCTAGAGCGGCGAGTGTTAACCCTAATTACTACATAAATATGCTTGATGCTCATGACTCAGAAGATGGTAAAAGTGAGTCAAGTGGTGTTAAAATGTGTGATGATGAAGAGGCAAAGAGACAAGAGGAGTCTTCATCTAGTGGGTCCCTCAGTGGCACAGCGATATGTCTGCGGATTTACACCACTAGAAACCGGGTTTAGATACCCGTGGTAGGCAGAG